GCCCTACAAGGCCGCGGGTCAGCGGAAAAATAGTGCAGGTCACTGTTTAACTGTCCATATGTCATCCTCGCGGGGAAAATTCACGTGTTGCATATTTGATGTGTGAATTAGGCAGGTCTGTGCCCTCTTGTACAGTAACATGAGGAATGGTTTCGTTTCACTGAAATGTACAGTAATTCAGTTGCCCTTTTTTCAGTTGCTGCAGCTACTACATGATTAATTCATTGTCAGAAAAATTTTGCAAAAATTTAATGTATCAAGTTTGTCCATATTAGTACTTTTTACATTTATGAATGAAATAGAAACTTGAGGTGGTGGTGAGACGGTGGTACTTTCCTCATAAAACAATATGGTCGATCATTTTAGCTTGTCTCATTGTTTCCCTTTTGATTGTCTCTGTTTCCTTTCATTCCGTCTTCACCCAGTCCTGCTCACCATCCGTCTTTTCTCTCTTTTCATTCCTCATGTTGTCATTCAGCTTTGTGTGTTTGTGTTTGCGTGTGTGTATGTGAGAGTTGTAGAGTGTCACATAAAAATGATTGCAGCTCGAGCAGCTGTGCACTTATCTGTAGTCATGAATCCAAAAAGGTGTTGTCCTATATTTCAATGGAGCGTGGTACATAAAGTGTACTTTTAAAAAAAAAATGTAATCATTGTTTGGGTGGCGTGTCCGGGTTCCTCTGCGCTGTGACTTTGTGGTTTTGCTGCTCATAAAAGCTTTCTCAAACACACATTTTATCATTTAAATTTGGTATTTGATATCAGGAAAAAAAAACTCATTACTCTTTATAGCAGAGTCTGAGAGAATATTCACCTCTGAGGATGAAAGAGAAAAATAAAAATATCTGAATAGCAAGCTGTAACTCGCCAACTTTAAATTGCATTCAAATTCTCAGCGCCGCTCAGCTCTGAGACCCCGGACAGAGCAGTGGCATAATATGCATGAATATGTGGGTGGGACGCAGAGGCTGATGCAGTGTGACTTATAAAATAGAGAGATAAACAAGGAAGTTCAAGTGTTAAACTACTCTATTGTCTGTGATTTGTCTCCCATAGCCTCAAGCCTCTCCTCAAGACCCCAGGTAAGATGAGGCTCCTCTACACTTCAGACACACAACAGTACTGTAAATCAGTCTGCATATGCAGCTTGTTTGGGAGCTCCTGTTTTCTTTTCTTTCTGCTCCATTGTGTGTGTGCTTTTTTTTTTGGTCAGTGTTTTAGCAGTTGGTAAAGATGAGTGAAGCTGGAGCAGCATTTTAGAGGTAATTACAGCTGCTGCCACAAAAGTATTCCTGTCTGTGTAGCCTTCACCTGCCTTCACCTGCCCCATCCCTTCACTTTTGATGGCCTGTGAGAAGGAGTTGGCTAATGGATGTCTGGAGAGTGCCATTAGCAGCTCCTCTCATTCCTCAGTCTGGTGCCAGTGTGTGTTTTTTGGAACTGCCACTGACCTCTTCCTGTTGTAATTGTTTAGTCTGCTCTGGTCTCCCTTTGCTCACTTCATTCCACTTCTTTCTCTCTCTTTTTAAACCGCTCAGCTCGTCTCTTCGCACACAGCCAACTCCTTGACAGGCCTGTTAAACTGCCTGTTTGCTACTGTATGAATCCATTTGTGGTGGCTGTGCCACATAATTTCCCTTTGATTTCCACTTTCCAACTGTTACACTTCAGCTTATCACTTTCAGCGTTTCACACCTCTACAAGTCGGATCAAATTCATCCGGATACTGTAAAATGCTCATTGTATACACTTTTCATTCAGTACATGCAGGAAATGAAGTGAACCATATTCTCCTTTACTGGAATTTATTTAAGTCATCCTTTTTTCCTCTTTCACTGTCATTGGCGAACACCATTCAGTACACACACAGAGGCATATGTGAGTAGTTTTGAGTGGTTAATTCAGTTTCTAAGAAGACAGCTCTGCTTTGTGAAGTATTCCCTGCATCCTTCACACCCACTTCCTCCTTTGCATCCACACTGAGCTTCTAATGGGCTGTAACTGGCTTGAAGGACTGCAGTCTGTCCTCCAGCTTCCAAACCCGATTACTTAGTTCGAACATCTGATGGTTCCTTACAGTGATGTCCCGATGAGGAGAAATGAGCCTGTTTCACCTGCTGTGTTAACTTTCAGTGGGTCTACTTGAACGCAGACACACACCTTCTGTGGCTCTTTTGAAATATGCATTTTACTGTATCCGAGCTGATGATTTTACGTTTGTTACCTCTGTTTTGCAGGTGATATGAGAATCGTCGCCACAGAGGATTGCGTGTGCTCGTGTGTGCACATGAGTGTGTGGCAGCAGTAACCGCTGGAACCATTCCCGAACCAACAACCCCCCTCGACCGTGAATCCCAAAGACACACAGGACCAGACAACTTAACTACTTTTACCACCTTGTCTTGTACTATGCAAACTGTATATTTTATGAACTGTAGATTGTTCAACATTTGTCAGTGATTTGTTTAGATATGCAGATAAGTATAGTATATGGGCACGGGGCTTTGTATAGTAAAACAATTTCAGTTTTTCAGAGGGTGGTTTGGGATTTATTTTGTTTCTTTTTAAGTTCTGCCCTCACTGGGAATCAATCTGTTACATGTTTTTGTCATTCCGCTGCTTTGTCCCCAGTTGCTATTGTCATTGGAAGTAGCCAGGAGGCTTTGTTTCGTGTGTGGGAGCACTCACAGTTCCTGAGTAATAACACTGAGTGGCTGAAAGGATCCTTTCAAAGCTGCAGACTGTCACCTCTCAAAGTACCCGTTTTGTTTTTAAGATCTGTCTTGTAGCATGCTTGATGTCAAGTTCCCCTTTAAAACATTAATATACCGGCAGACTTTGTGTACTCCTCCTGTGCCTATACAGTTTGTCGTTCCACATGTGGAAGACAGAGATAAATTAAAGTTGATAGAGATGTGTGTAAAGAGAGATGTTTTGAAAATTATAGATTTAAATCTAAAGTTGTTCTGAATCTGGGTTTGTAAGAGGTCCGCTGTGATTATGTAGAATATTTTTAAAAGATATATAAACAGAAATCAGAGGAAAGCCATGATTGCCTTGCTACCTCAGACTCATAGACACAGTTTTGTTTTTGTGGTTCGTAAACCTGTTTATTAAAACAGTTGTGGTCATTTACAGAACATGAACAACTTGGTTTAGCTAAACTTTAGCTTACTGTATTGGTGTACACTGCAACGAGGAGATACCAAGTAAAATAAAAAAGCTACTATTACTGTACCACAATGGGTCTGTGGCCTGCTGAAGCTAGCCATTTGTTGTGTTACTTTATCTGTTGTTGGTTTTTCCACTGGCCTTCTAGCACTGGTCCCTCACTGCATTGTGTTGTTGTGCTATATGCTATCCTGTAAAACTTGTGAGACTGAACAACACTACTATAACCTCCACTGACTGTAGACGTTTGATGATGTGAGTGATGGTTTTAATCATTGCAGTCATGATGACGCGTACCACAGCAGAACTGTGTCGCTTCTCCTGAGGTATGTAAACTAGTTTGACCACACTATGTGTAATATGGCTATGTTGTTTTATTCTGAATAAAATTTTTATAAGATGTATCCCACTGCTGTTGCTTTTATAAAACTTATTGTCTGCTTTGTTTAATGAAACATTAACAGGTCTGTAATATTTGATCCACCCTGTAAATATATAAAGGTAATATAGAAGAATTACTTCACTGATCAGAATTCAACCCACTGCTTAACGTGCTTCGTATGCGGCACTTGCCCTGCATTTGAGAGCATACTGCAAACTCCTCAGTGTCATCCAGGACTGTGTCAGTGTTATTTATCAAAGCAAATGATCACCCAGTGAGTGATTGTATCATTGTTACATGTTTGCAGCAAGCGTGCCAAGCTGTAACTGAAATGATGAAACGCAATGGGCCTCTTTTTTCCTTTTACTCCACATCTCCAAACCCATTTTTCTTTTTCATTGGTGCAGCGTCGCTCAGTTGTGGCTGCATTCTTAAATAGTGTGTGATGATTGATTAAAGACTTTTCTGCTGTTGTGGTTATAAATCAAATCTGACCACAAAAATGATTTCATGGTATAAAGATGGTTCGTTTCAGTAACCTGTCAGTTTAAATTGTGTCCTAACAGAACATTGTCTGTGCTGTTAAGGCTGCACCAAACTGAAACTGATTGTTTCCTAACTTTAACTTCTTGTTCCTGAACCTGGAGCATCCTTTCTTCATCAAAAAATGTTAATGAGCATAGTTGTTTAACCAATACTCTGATATGTTTCTGACAACAAAAAAGTAATGGACATATCAATCCCCAGATTAATTTCCATCATTTTTTGGTGTGGCACCTGTGCAAATTCAACACAAAGTAGTTTGAGGAGACAACTTTTCCATGCTGTGTACGTTTCCTCTAATAGTGCTCTCTGTCATGTACGGTCCAGCCATACATGCTTCAATAATTCAACAGCAGCCAAGTGGTAGTGCACCCTAATTGGATCTGGGGCTACTGTACCTATTATGACTCCTTATAGACACTGTGCTTGTATATCCCACGGGTTCCTTGAGGTACCCTTAATTAGTCTGTTACTCCTGTTTCTGTTATGCATTGCAGAAATCAGCTTGTTTGTAAAGGCAAAGAAGTTTGCACACGCAAGAGAATCCTATTACAAAAAGGAGTGTGCTGGCATTTTTATTAATATTAATGTGAAAATTAAGCTATATGTGAAAGCGGATTTGGTTTAATTACATTAACAATCCAGTACGCCCATATGAAACTTGTGAGTTATCAGAGTCTTTCCAAAGTATTTTAATCCTCCTCAGAAGCAGCTCTCCGTGACTCCAATGAGATGCAGTCTGCTCGCTCGACTGAACAAAGATTTGCATTCTGCAGCACATCAAAAACACAAGTCTTTATTAATTATATATCCTAATACTCTAACAATGTAAATGAAATTCTCTGGCCGTCCACATGAAGGTGGTAGGAAATGATGGATTAGCTTGCTGACACAGAGGATTGAACTTTAGGGACCTAACTGATGGCATCCTGCCAGGCATGTTGCCATGCATCTGACAGCAGGACTAAAGGTCCGCTGCCACAGCGGCCTCCGATGGCTACAAAGGCCATTACACACAACAATTTGGCTGAAGTAAAACATGACATTAGGTTTGATGGTACAGGGAGTACGCTGCAAGACAAAAGTCAGCAAGATAATCTTAGCATTTAGCAACTGTTCTGGAGCTTTGTATCACACGATCTTTCTCAGCGGATGGAGGAATGAAACTGTCCTGCCCATTCATCCAAGCACTTCTGGCAACTTCTGACATCATTACTGGTTCAGGAGTTGAGACTGAAACTTCATCTTGACTTTGGAAAGACCAGTTGACAAAATAATCCCACTCAGTTGCTGTGGATATTGATAACTTCATCTACAGGGAAGACGTCTGGGCACTGTAGTGTCATCGATGTTGGCAAAAAAATTGAGATTAAAAAGTTGTCAAGCAATATGTATAGCTTTAGGCCACTGGTGAAGGCACTGAGTGCAGTGCTGTCCAACCAGCCACCTGTATTGTGTCAAAAATGATTGTCAGGCAGAAGCTGATTGGTCCGGAGGAGCATGCGCAGCTTGTTACTTAATTAATTTTAGGCAGACACCCCTACTAGTTATCAAGGATTCTGGACATCTTCAATTTGACATGTAAGTATTTCATCCAAGTTGGATTAAACATGGTTTTTGTTATTGTTTTGCTTTCAGACATAGTTTTTTGCTAAAGATATTAGATTTAGTAGCTTTCAAAATTTTCCCATTAGTAAAAATGTCAAGTTCAAGTAACATTTCCTCTGGAGTCTGAAGGCAGCTTGATTTCCCATCTCTCTTCCAACAGCTGAAAGTTTTTTCTTTAACAATGTGATTCTGTGGTGTAGTTTTTTTGATAAGAGTGATAAAATAGTAAAGTGTTTAGTGTTCTTAAAGGGATAATTTAGCAGGGGCTTCATTTTATTTAGAGTAACCTTATCAGTTGGAAACAGCAGATTCTTTCATCTCCAGACTTGAAACAACGCAGACCTTTCTCCAGGGTTCTGTCGATCTTACCAGCTAGACATCCTCACAAAGGTAAATAACTAAGCAATTAACCTTAGTGGTGCCTGTGTGGGGTGGGCACAGCTATAAAATTTGGGTTAACAGAAGGTCTGGTGTTATGAATATCTTCAATTCTGTGTTTGGTGTAACCTACTGCGTCATCCAGTGATTCCTTTGCTGCACAGTTGACCCAGATGGCTCCTTTTTAGTGTAGGTGACCTCACTGGCAGTCAGTCATTTACCCTGCTCTGCCCTATATGCATGAGTTTAACTCCACTACAGGTTCTTTCTTTTACTTATGCTACAGCCTCATAAGATACCAGACAATATTTATTTTAATCTATTTAATTTCCGTCTCCCTATGCTCCTCTGAGCGTCACCATCTGTGATCTGCTAATTCTCTTTTCTGTGGGTGAAAACTATGACGATTCCTCCAGGCACTGGGCGTTGCCTCGGCTGTCCATCAGCCCGTTTTTCGGGATGGGACCATGGTGCTGATGGTCTTGGGTGTTTATTTTTTTACCCTTCCTCTGCCCATTTCTCATTGATACAGCTACATTGGCTGGCATAGAGATCCATTTGACAGCTGTCTCCTTTGATCAGATGCTTGGCAGGCTGCGGCAAAGCTGGTGCCGATGGTATGGGTGTTTTGGCGGGGAGCTGCCTCTGGCACAAAGCAATGACAGGGAACAGATGTTGAGGAGGGGGAGGCAAGACACTGCAGGACCAGTGTAGGGTATGAAATATAGGCTGGAACCGATGGAGAGTGAGTTGAGGAAGGGATGAGTACAAGCAACCTAGATGGGAGAAGAAGAAACAGATCAGGAGAAAGCCAGTTTCTGTTCTCATCGCCATCGTGTCAGCAGTTAAATCTCTTATGCTGACACAGTGGTTTTATGTAAATGTTCTAGCTCACACAACCTGGAATCACACTTGTGTTCTAATAAGCCTTCTGCCTTTAACAGCTCCCTTGCAGTACTTGTCTGCTAAAGTTTATTGTCCTCAGTGCACTTCAGATCTCCAGAATATGCTGAGTGCACATGGTGAGTTAGCATTAGCACCATATTAGCTTTCTCCCTGTCAATTAATTTTTAAATAGCTAAATTCACTAGACCTTCTTCTGGCAGGGAATCGACCTGGAGTTTTCATTTTGGATGCTTTAGGGAAGACTCTGGGCGTTTGTCCCATGAGCATCTTCTTCTGTTGGCTTAAAAAAAAAAACAAATAGCTTTCTTAAATTCTTAAATCTCTTTTATGTAGCCCATTAAGAGCCAACCTTGGTATGAGAGAGTGCATCCACATCTTTTCAATTGTGACTTTCTCCTGCATCATCTTTTATGAGATGTTAAATTTTTTACATTCATATATTAGATTTCACTCATTTCTCAGTACTTGCCTCTTTTGTTTAGTAATGTCATTGGTTGCTTGCCACCGTCATGCTCATATTTAAAGCACATCATTAGCATGTTTGCTAACACTCATTTCCCTCTTTACACCGACTGTATATAGCTATTGCAGCTACACAAACACAGCTACCGCACACATGCACTTCAATGCAGTACACTGTTTTCACCTGCCTTTCTTGCCAAAGACTATTGTAACAAGCTTTCTATGATTGTGGAGTGCCCCCATCTCCCTATAATAGCCTCATTTATTGTATGATGCCTGGTCAGGGCCAAGGACTAATGAAGGGAGACGAACCAAAATTGGTGTGTCTGCAATGGGAGCAGCAGGAGGTGTGCGGGGAATCGCACAGTATTTTCCCAGTTTCATTACAGCATGGACCATTAGCTTCAGGCAGGCCACTGACATTCCTGCCCATGAAATTTAAAGCCCTGTTGCCATGATGCCAGTATGAACCAATCAGGCCACTTGTAAACACAGAGCACCAGGCCCTAATGAAATTTGATGGGCATTTCCTGTTGGTTATAGAGAGATTTCTGGAAGATAGGAACTGGACCTTTGGTTGTGTGTATGAAAAATAATTAAACACTGTAGTCAGGTCCAATTTGTGCAGACTAAAAGTAGCTTAAGATATTTCCCTGTGTGTCCAAGTAGGAACGTTGTGGCTAAATATCTCAGGTGTTTTTTTTCTCCTCACCCGCTTTCCCAACAAACCATCTGCCAGAGGAAAATTGAATGCTCATCACTTCTCCGTGGATGACAGCTTGTGACTGATTCACCATCACACTTTGCCACAATCCTGCCAGATGAGAGACAAACTGAGTTATTAAAAGAGTGCTCTTTGTCATGGTGCTCAGAACCCAGCTGCTACAACACTGGCATATGATGAATGCAGAATCCATCAAGTGATCATAATGTAGCTTTATTTATATAGCACTTTTCTTTACCCAGTCACAAAATGCTGTAACAGAAGTCAACACAGTCAATAATAAGATTATGCAGTGAAAGTTAAAAACAAAGGTTATAAAACAATAACATGATACAGATCAGTTAAAATCCAGTTTAAAGGTGTTTTAACAAGACAATAAAGTATCTGTGTGGATTATGAAT